TCTACACAGTGACACACATTAATGAGACACATTTGCACACACACACACACACTTACCCACATTCACTCACACACACACACACACACACACCACATCAAAGAGGTACTCTATTACTGAGACACACTTGTCAGGAAGGATGTCTGAATAAGGGGAAGCCCTCATACCACCCAAAACGCACTCTATGATCTCTGCTATGTATTTGTGTATGTGTGTGTGTGTGTGCGCATATTGTGTATGGCATAAGAGAAGCCTGAAAATTTACTTCCCGCAAACAACACTGAATGGGCCTAATTTCTAGGAACACCACAATAATTCTACATAAAAACTATTTGGTTTTTCCCATGTAACAGCTGTAAAAAGCCCCACAATGAAAGAGGCCTCATGAAGAATACATGTTCTGTCACTAGCAAACAATGTCAGCCACCAAGGTACCAATAACACACACACACACACGCACACACACACGCACAAAGTTTAAATAAAGTCCACACTGAGGCTGCAACCAACGCTTATATTCTCACCTCACCGTACGAGTTGTTAATTGTTATCAGTCACATATTTAGACCTTTTTGCTTGAAAAATGACTGAACGATTACTTTAAAATTAATTACCACTTAGATTCTCTGTAGATTTATTAAATTAACTCTTCAGCTCTTGTCCACATATCCCAGACATCCCACATATTCCAGTAATTCCTCTGAAACGTCCTTAAACTACAGTCACATTACAGCCAGAGACATTAAGTCAACATTACGGGGATATCTGATTTTGTTGCTTTAGGGTGGAGCATTTTGATTATTACATTTCATGCTCATGCCCTCCAATTTTCAATACATCTGTTCTGCTTGGGGGGGAAAAAAACCACTGAGTGCATCAGCGCTGATAGTTGCTGTCTGGCTTCAGGCCTGGAACAACCATCTGTCAGAGTATGACGGGGTGTCCCGGGACAGCAGAGGCAGGGGCCGCGGGGCCGACATCAAACGGCCTCCCTCCAGGCTCGGCGATACATTTCCCAATGGAAACACAGCGAGGCTCATATTCCATGTTCTGCCACGGCCCCTCTATATTTTTACTAGTCCACCACAAAGCCACAACAGCTTTTCTTTTCAAGAACGGGGGAGGTGGCGGTGGAGAGCGGCGGTGTGTTAAGCAGCAAGTTTCCCAGGCTGTCGACATAAATAAGAACGCGCTGTGGGTCGATTTATTTAGTTCGGAGGGTTAAAAATGTGTTTACAGAAACACCTGTAGGGATGTAAGGATTCATTAATCAACTGGTCCAAAAAGATAGTGAAACTCTCGATGGGTAAATGTCGGGATGCTTGAAAGAGTTTAAACCTTCCAGTGTGTAGAGCGGGAGAGTTTTGATAAAGTTTGATGGTTTTAACTTCTTAAAATGTGCAGATTTTCTTGATGAAATATAAAGAAAAGAATAACACTGAAAGAGTCTCTTGATGGAAAAGATGTTTAGGCTTCTTAACCAGAAAGTGGCTCCAGAGTCAAAAAAAAAAAGTTGGATGAAAGTGATATTTAACCAGAGCAGGAGGGGGTTTATGGTCGACTTCTGCCCCAAATGTATTCATATAGTCCCCGTTACAACTGCCAGAATATGTAGTGGTTGAAAAGGGGGTGGAGGGAAGGAGAGGGGAGGGAGATCAGATTCTCGACTGCTCTCCATCACAGGCAGGAAAGACAAAAACCTCCTCTCTGTGTGCCAACATTCCTCCACCCAAAGGGATTTTATAGACCAGCGGACAGCAATGCAGGAACCATTATTACATCCTAGTGATACCATTTATCATGCTCCCTCTTTCCCTCCCTCCTTTCCCTGCGTTCTTTTCACCGCACAGGCTTTCAGTGCACCCCATCATGCAAAAGAGACAAAAAAAATTCCTTCAAAAACTTAAAAGAAAAACCTGGGTCATTCTGGTGCAAATGATTGGAGCTAAATGCCAAACCGGTGACATTCCTACAAGATATAACAAATGGACTCGGACCCGAGGCTCCAAAGGCAACAAGCTGAGGTTTGGTGGTGCAACATGGATTAACTCTGGAGCAAAGAGGATTTTTTTTAACCCCGATTAACCACAGCAGTTGCCATCACAAGCACATTTGGTGAATTAAGGTAATTTGACATTGCTAATTAAAATAAAAACCACAGAAGACAAGGGCAATAACAGTAGCTCCGCCTTTCCTACCTGCCTTATATTAAAAACAAACAGCTACTGTACTGCGCTATCTTTCACCTTCACCCAGTACTCCGTCATGAAGGACTTGTAGAGAGTCGTGTTCCCATACATGGGCAGAAAACGCTGAGGTCGACGGAAAAAGGCACGAAGAACGGGATTTGTTTGCTCCGGTCTATTTTGGACAAACTGATAAAGCTGCACACGAGGCCTCAGTCTGGCCACAGCCCAGCCAAAGACTTCTAAACAGAGCCATAACTTCCTAGAATTAGACAATTAGAAAGTCTCTTGGCATCCAGTTGATAAGACTCAGTCCCATTGATAATAAAAACATTCCTATCATGCCTCCGGCTCCCAAAAAGCCTCCTTTGCATTCAGAGCACGCTCTATTGTCAGGTAGCAGAACATTGTTATCGATTAGCTGGGAACGCCAAACCCACATACCAATAATGACCTCAGTGGGTAGAGAGAAGAAAAGGCTGGAAGGAGGGAGGGAGGTGGAGGGAAGGATTGTCATAGCTCAGAGGCTAAGTATCCATCAAAGGGAGAAGTGCAGGGGAAAAAAACACAAGAAAGAGAAAAAGGGAAAGACGCAGCAACGGCCGACTGAGGAATGACGACTGATCACAGAGCCGGCGAGGGACGGCGGGAACAGGTGAGCACTGAAAGAAGAAAGTCTGGAGTGTAAGAGCTCATTGAAACAGAACTGTAGGTGTAACCACGCTACGCTAGAGGAAAGGAGAGTCCCTTATGAAAAGGCCCCAGGGCCCTATTGAGATCCCTCCAAGTGTGCAAAATCCCCAAGAGGGCCGGTCAAGGTCACCAAAGGTCACATTCCAGAGGGGAAATCAAAAAAAAGGAAGAATTAGAAGAAGAAGAGGGGGGGTGACAACAAGATGAGGCAGAGCGAGCAGAAGCTACATGGCTTTGAGGAATGTAACAGATTGTAAAGGAGAGGTGGGTCCGACTGACGGCAGCACGCCGGCGGGGAGAAGGAGCCCCGAAGGCGGGCGGGATCAGAGCCCGGATCGCTCGCGGCTCTGCGTGGGGAATGTGTCAGAGTACGTCACAGCGACACAGTCGTACGTTTGAACCCTGGCTTCCTTTTAACGCTGAGGTACAGCAGATGTGCTTCGGGCATCCATCCTGGTATGACTGGTAAAGTCTGTGTGTTACTGCTGCTCACACCATTTGTACTGAGCAACTGGGATTACTGGGAGGGAGGGAGGGAGGGAGGGAGGAAGGGAGTGCATGTGTGTGGGTGGCATCCAGACAGCCAGTATTAGAAATGAGTGCTCCAAGGCTGTAAAATATGAGGTTGGATGTAAATGACCTCCTCCTCTCTGTATCTGTCTGTCCTTCAGAGATTCTTTTAGTGATGAGATTAAAATAAAGTTCTAGAGGAACTAAAAACATGAAAAGGGGAGGTGATAAGTTCTCTATCTAAAGCACATAATGAGAACACTGATAAGATTATTCTCTTCTGCAACGCCTTGGGTCAAATGTATGCTCCCTATTTCTGTGTCATGGTAAAAACTAGTCAAAATAATCCCTTTGTTGATCTGTATAATCAATATATTTCACCCTGCACACGTCGGTGTGTCAGGTGTTGAATGTGTGAGTGGAAATTCAGGCCCGAACACACAACAATCTCAAGTTATTGCTAAATTGGACACCATGAAAAAGGTACAAAGTACAACTCCTGACCAACGACTCCTCTTTAAAGACACAGTGCACTCACAGGTACCATATCTCCACACACACACACACACACACACACACACGTTATTTCCTCCAGCAGGGTCGAAGCATCACATTCTCAGGTGTTTGAATAACACACATTTCATGAATAGTTAATGAGACTAATGGCTGGGTGGCAGTGGAATAAAGCGCCGGCTGTCTGCGTCAGAAAACTCTGGAGAACAATAAAGTCACATAACGCTGGAAAAGCCCACAAACAGGAGTTTAACTGGTGTACACAGAAATCAGGACACACAGCACTGTTAACAGTCAGACAACGACACTGAGAAATAACAACGTGAAGAGTCAGTCACTTCCAGTACAGCGACCCTCCTCAGCACACATTCTTCGGCTGTTAAGTCAGCCTTTTTTTACTTTTCACAACACAGCAAGACATCGTGAGTTTATCTCCAACGTATCAGTGGTTCCTGGGGGGGGGCTATAGTGGCACTGAAATAACAACATTTCAACACAATCACTATATTCAACTGAAATTAGATAAGAGATTGAAGAAATCATGTTTAGTTTGATAAAGACCCAGAAACTATTCACATTATAGTGATTATTCACATTTATGATGTAAAAATAATCACTGTAGTTATAATATCCAACAACAGTCTTCAAGGGGGGGGCAGCTACTTTCTGAATGTGGAGATTAGTGGGTGGGGGGGCATTCAATCAAATGTGGCAACTTTCTTTGGCTGATTGATCAAAAAGAGCTGCCCCCTGAATGCCCCTCTGATTGGCCCATCAGAGGCAGGAGAAGTGACTTGGCAGCCCCCCCCCCATCCGGGCCCCATCCTGGATAATAGCAGCGGGCTGTGGATGCCTGTGTGAGCCCCTCTGCCCCCCCCAACACACACACACACACACACACACACACACACACACACACACACACACACACACACACACTGAGGACTGTCTGCTTCAGTGTCTGTAGGTTTACCCTCATTACAGAAGCACCCAGAGCTACTTCACTGCCCCAGAGAGGAGGAAGAGGAGGAAGAGGAGGAGGAAGAAGAGGGTTGTAAGACTTTAAAATGGCTGCTGGAGATTGTTAATAAAACAACTTACCGACTCTGAGAAGACGGAGGTGGATAAAATCAACACGAGGCAGCAGAGGTTGAGCATGTTGTCTCTTCAGCACAAACTTTATAAAGTCTTCAAACACAAACAGGTTGAACCGTGGAGCAGAGCAGGGCGGGGGGGGGGGCAGGTCAGAGCTGTCCCGGTATAATAGTCCAACAGATGTCCCACAGAAACTGTCCACTTTATCACCTTCACTGGGTCTGCTGCTGTCTGTCGTCTGCGGCTGACTGTCTGTCTTCACTGAGCTCACAGCAGCGCTTCATCTGGGATATATCACACAGCCCCCAGCTCTCCTCCAATCAGAGCCCAGCCCCCAGCTCTCCTCCAATCACAGCCCAGCGCCGCGCGTCAGCCTACGTAACAGGTTGGCCCCGCCCCCTGAAGTACCGAAAGATAACCACATAAATAAATAAATAAATAAAGACGGATAAGATGTTGTTTTATTCTCAGAATAAACACATTGAATCTTATTCTGTGTTGTACAATGAGTTTCATTAAAGGTTTAATAGTGTTTATGTGTTGTTGTTGTTGTTGTTGTTTGTTTAAAACCCATTACTGTTATTGTCTTTAATTTATATTTAACGGTTTGAGCTGATTAATAAAGTAAAGTATTTATTTTAAATCTATTCTGTGTTTTTTTTCCGAATATCCGCCATCTGCTGTTTGTCTTCATTAGGGTAATTAATAATGGGGGGGGGTATCTTATCTGCCCCCCCTGTGTGCTGGCCCTTACTACACTCTGATTAAAGCTGATGGTTTTCCCACCACAGAAAGATCAACCTGAGGGTGTCCACATACTTTTGGCCATTATTAAACATACTTTCAATAAGAGTGAAATTAGATATAAAGATTATTAGATTGAATCTTTTACTACTGATATGAACCCCGACATTGACCCTGGCGGGGGGGGTCTGAACATCTGCATGAGGTCATTCTCTCTTTTGGTTTCCAGTGTATTTTCCGTTACCGGGAAGCTGCTGCCGGCGGGCTTCTCAGCTTCCTGGAATCTTTTCTTCGACTGACGAAATCTCTTCCGGTAAAAGTTCCTCTCTCCTGTTGTTCCCTCCCCCTTTCTCTTTCCTCCCCCCCTCCTCCCCCCCTCCTCCCCTCTGCAGAGTTCCCGTTTCCAAACAGTATCTGGAAACAGCAGCTTTCATTTTCCTTTACATCATCCACGCTCACCCATTAATCCTCACCCATTAATCCTCACCCATTAATCCTCACCCATTAATTAATTTCAGTAACTTCATGTAAGTATAAACAGGAATATGAGCTTAAATGAAGTATAACATTACATTATTATTATTATTATTATTATTATTATTATGCATTCATGTGAAAGCAGGATTTTACTGTTGTGGCTCATTTTATAACTGTTACTAATCATTATTTTCATTATGAATTAATCTGCTGATTATTTTCTCCACTTATCCATTAATAGATTAATAGATAGAAATATGATCACATTTACCCAGAGTTCAAAGTGGCATTACAGTATTACAATCATTTCATCATTTTCTCTGAAAACAAAATCAGTTCAACGATTATTGAAATAATTCTTTTTACAGACTAATTGATTAATCTTCTCTATCGACCTGAAACTGTTCCAGATAAACTGTTTGATCAAACTTTATAAACTATATAAAAATATATGTTTAATGTGTAAAGTCGCAGCATTTGTATGAAATTCCACTCAGAGCACTTTTCACTACATTCATACACTGATGGCCTGTTTAAAGACACAGTGCACTTACAGGTACCATATCTCTGCCCATTCACACACACACACACACACACACACACACACACACACACACACACACACACACACACACACACACACACACACACACACACACACACACACACACACACACACACACACACACACACACACACACACACACACACACAGTGGTGAACATCTGGAGCAATCTGGGGTTCAGTATCTTGCTCAACATGCAGCAGGAGGAGCCGGGGATCGAACCACCAACCTTCTGAGTAATGGACGACCTGCTCTACCTCCTCTATTATATATATATATATATAATTATATTATGTTATATATAATATAATAATATTATATATAATATAATTATATTATATCCAGATAGGAGTATTTACACCTAATAAGATAAATAAAATAAAATTACACTTGAGCTGACTCAAACAAACTGGACTACAAACTTTGCTTTATATTTTTGTTTGTGGACATTGCTTTATATTAATGATTGTTTTCTCTTCAGAAATGAATCAGATAAAAGAAGGAAACAGTCTTTGGAATCATTTTGTTTTAAAGGTCACAAGCTAAAGAGGTTTGGAACCGGTGGCTGACATCTTTCACTCATGAATACGTGACTGTGACTGGTATCAGTTGATGGATGTATCTGTTATCTACAGTATATAAACTAATACTGTGTATATTTAATTTAATTAAGTTTGCCATTGGCTCAGAATCTGGGGATTTTCTGCTCTTTGCTGTCATTGTGCCGTTAAAGCCAGAGGATAACACCGAGCACAGATAAGAACAGATGACAACAACACACACAGATAAAAGATAAAGTCCATCTGGAAAAAACCAACACAAAGAGATACTGTAACTGTGTTTGTGTGACTAGCTCTTTGTGTTTGTGTTTGTTTTACATGCTTACACAAATTTTCATTAGCCTAACAGCAGAGTAATAAAGGCTGTTGGTTCCAGACGAGAAAGGAAATTAAACTTCATTGTGCATGTACAGTGTGTACTCTGTGTAATGTGTGTGTGATGTGTGTGTGATGTGTGTGTAATGTGTGTGTAATGTGCAGTGGTGGAAGATGTACTCAGATCTTTCCTTTGTATTTGTGTGGATTCTGGCGCCCCCTGTGGACAAAAGTGGTAGTGTTTCATCTTGTTTGCAGGCATTAATGAAAACTATATAAAAACACTAAATCTTCTCTCTGATGGTTTTGTTTGTTTCTGTAGGTCAGACAGAGACATCAGTGTGAAACGGAGACTGTTTCATTAACAGTTTAAAACTCCTTGCAGTATGTTTAAGTAGACTAAAAGTAATAATACATTAATGCATCAACCCTCGGCGCTGGAACTGACCGAGGAGATTAGGTCACATTACCTGCTTTTAAATCATTGCTTAAATTACATTTTTTTAATAGGAAAGCCTTTTGTGATGTCTGACTACCTTTATTTCTCATATTCTAACTGATTCGTATGGTTACCTTTATTGTATCTTTGTTGTTTGTTTTTATCTCATTTATTTTTCACTCTGTAACCTTGTTTAAATAAGTGCTACAAATAAAGTATTAGCATCAAAAATAAAAGTACTCATAATGCAGAATTGTATAATAATTATTAATGTATTCATGTGTTCATCTCTCTCATGTTGTAGCTGGTACAAGTGGAGCTTTAATATTACACCATCATTTATTGTGGATCATATTTTCTGTTAAGAATAAAGAATCTGTAAAATGAGCACAAACTAAATTGTTTTAATAGTTAAATTACTTTTAAATAAATATAGAGCAGTAAAAAGCTGCAATATTGCTCTCTAACATGTAGCAGAGTAGAAGTATAAAGTAGAATAAAATGGAAATACTCGAGTACAAGTACCTACTGAACTTTGTTTTCTTTCCACCACCGGTCCGGTTTGTACGGCTTCCTGGTTACATAAATAAAGAAATGTAGCACAGCTAAATTTGGATGAGGTTGCATCATACAGGGATTTCTGTGGGTGTATTGTTTATCATAAAAGAGGAAGTAGGAGTTTCCAGCTTCTCTCACCTGGTTGGTCACACCTGTTTGACTCAGAGATTCGAAACGTCTACAGGACAACAAAGGAGCTGTGTAGGATTAATGGCTGAGTGTATTACTCTCTGTTCTCACATAATGCAGTTCACAGTGATAACAGTGCAGATTTATCCACCAAATGTTAAAGTTAACAGTAAACAGAAGTAAACTAAAGCAGGATTTCATTTCTGTCGGTCTGAAATGTCGCTAGAATGTTTTTAATAGCTTTTTAACACCAAGCTAAATGAGCTAATTCTCCTTATCATCATTTGATCGGTGTAGAAAATGACAGCATTGTTCTCATAATGCAGCGTAGAGATAACTGGTTTTGGTGTTAAACTGTAAGTGTGATGAGGAAACAAACAACACTTTGAAACACTTATTTTCTTTGAAACGTTGAGATAACAATGGCAAACCTTAAATCCAACACAGGCCCACAATCCACAGACAGAACTAACGTTAGCCATTACGAGCTGACTAAACAAGAAAATGCAGGTAAATTCCCCGTCAGGTGGAGAAGGAGGGAAAACCAGGAGGCTGTGTGTGTGTGTGTGTGTGTGTGTGGGAGATTGGTTTGGTTGGTGTAATATTCCCCAGAGTGACAGGTAAAGTCCCTGCTCAGGTGAGCGACTGCACCCTCATGTTTGTGTATGTAGGTGTGTGTGTGTGTGTGTGTGTGTGCGTGTGTGTGTGTGTGTGCAGATATCACAACTGAAAACAAAAGGCTTGATAAGGAAAGTGAAAAGTGTTAGCAACAGATAGAAAAGAACAAACCTTTTATTAACACTGTGTCACAGATTAATATTGAATAAAACTCTTGAAAACCATAAACCAATAACAACAGTAATATAATCAATACAAGAATAAACAGAAAATGAAATAAATGAAAAAATAAGAAATATGATGTAAAATAACTAATAAAAGGGGGATAACAGAAGAAGAATGGGACGGGTTTGGGGGAATAAACACCTAATGAATTAAAAACGCCACAGTCTTACAGGGTTAAAGGTGTTAAAGGCTGATTAGACATCTCGACAGGTTGAGGCTGGATACAGAACTACTGCCCCTGCTTAGAGCCACAGAGAGTAAACTTTACAGCAAAGTGTAAAAGTCCTGCTGCATGCAGCTGGGCATCGGTTTATGAATGTGGATGAGTAAGTTTCTGTTCTGCTTTCTGTGTGAATGTATGCAGTGTGAAGGGCTTTGAGGATTCCCACGTACAGTTCATTTACATGAGACATGTAGCTGTACTATGAGTGAAGGGTTCAGCTGAGAACAGATGTGGGTGTATTTATTGCACATTGCTGTGTTGCTCAGTGTTACATGATGTCAGAAAACTTAGTCTTCTGTAAGTTTTGATGCAGGACAACTTACTCCTCACCTGAGATGTTAATGTAGCTGAGTTTGTTCTCCGAAGAAGAAACCTAATAAGTAATAACACTTCTCACGTCGGCTTTAAGAGATG